AGCCCCCCAAAAACCCCCCAGCCCCCCTTACGAGGATGACGAAGGCCACAGGCCCGATGAAGCTCCAGATGAAATAATTGTCCACCCGCAGCCAGCACCTGCCAGGGGCGGGACGTCATCGGAACATGCCCCACACAGGGTGAGACCACGACCCATGGATCAGACCCCACCCCCACTGGCAAAGTCCCTCCCCCAGAGCCCCCATCCACACCTGGTGAGTCCCACAGCAGCACCCATGGTCCCACCCTGCTTCAAGCCACGCCCCCTGACTCAGGCCACACCCCCAGCCCCTCTATCCATACCATCACTCCCAATGGGGAAGCCCCGCCCCCAGCCCGAGACACACCCCCTATAATCAGGCCACACCCCCAGCCCTTTCATTCACACCTGGTCACTCCTCAAGGGGGAAGCCACACCCCAGCCACACCCCAGCCACACCCTGACTACACCCCAGCCACACCCTGATTACACCCCAACCACACCCCAACCACACCCTGGCCACACCCCAGCCACACCCTGACCAAACCCTGGCCACACCTTGGTCACATTTCAGCTCCAGCCCCATGCCGTCCACACCTCTGGCCCCACCCAGCCCCACCCTGGCTACACCTCAGCCATGTCATAGCCCCACCCAGCCCCACCCTGCCCTGCCCTGGCCACACCCCAGCCATGTTTTGGCCCCACCCAGCCATGCCCCAGCCCCGCCCTGGCTACATCCTGGCCACACCCCAACCATGCCCCAGCCCCACCCTGGCCACACCTCAGCCACACCCCAGCCATGCCCTTCCCCGCCCAGCCCCGCCCCGCGCTCACGCCTGGTCGGTGCCGTAGCTGCGGTGGTCCACGGCGGCGGCCACGGCCACCACGACGGCGGGGAAGAAGTACCCCCCCGCGTAGTAGTACTTGCGGCGGGCGGGGTCGCTGTCGAACACCTCGAGCAGCAGCAGGTACAGGTGAACGCCCTCCAGGCACAGCCACGAGAATGACGCCAGGAAGAAATAGTGCAGCAGCACGGCGAAGATGGGACAGGCCACCTGCGGGGAGGGGGACGTGTGGGATGTGTGGGGACAGCGCGGGGACAGCGCGGGGACAGCGTGGGGACAGCACGGGGACAGGGACTGCCCAAAGATGGGACAGGAACAGCCCAAAGATGGGACAGGCCACCTGTGGGGAGGGGGACGTGTGGGGACGTGTGGGGACAGCGCGGGGACAGAGTGGGGACAGCATGGGGACAGGGACGGCCCGAAGACAGGACAGGGACAGGGACTGCCCAAAGATGGGACAGGAACAGCCCAAAGATGGGACAGGCCACCTGTGGGGAGGGGGACGTGTGGGGACGTGTGGGGACAGCGCGGGGACAGAGTGGGGACAGCATGGGGACAGGGACTGCCCGAAGATGGGACAGGAACAGGGACAGGGACAGGGACAGGGACAGGGACAGCCCAAAGATGGGACAGGCCACCTGTGGGGAGGGGGACGTGTGGGACGTGTGGGATGTGTGGGGACAGCGTGGGGACAGCATGGGGACAGGGACGGCCCGAAGACAGGACAGGGACAGGGACTGCCCAAAGATGGGACAGGAACAGCCCAAAGATGGGACAGGGACAGCCCAAAGATGGGACAGGCCACCTGCAGGGATGGGGACATGTAGGGACAGCGTGGGGACAGCATGGGGACAGGGACTCCCCAAAGATGGTACAAGGACAGGGACAGCCCAAAGATGGGACAGGCCACCTGCGGGGATGGGGACAGTGTGGGGACAGGGACAGGGACTGCCCAAAGATGGGACAAGGACAGGGAGCACCCAAAGATGGAACAGGCCACCTGCATTACAATGGTTGAGGGACAGGGACAGCGATGGGGACAGGGATGGGGACAGCCAGAAGGATGCTATGGGTGGTCCCTTGGGAGTCCCAAATGTGCCACAAGGTGTCCTGCGATGTCCCCCTGTGTCATGGGTGGTCCCCTGGGGATCCCAGGTGTCACAGGGGTGCCATGGGCTGCCCCACAGGGGTGCTCTGGGGTGCAATGGGACATTCCAAGGGTCTCAGGGCTGTTCTGGGATGTCCCAGGTGTGCCATGGGCAGCCCCAGGTGTGATGTGGGATGTCCCAGGTGTTCCATGGGCAGCCCCAGGTGTGATGTGGGATGTCCCAGGTGTGCCATGGGCAGTCCCATGGGCACTGTGAGGGTCCTGTGGTGCCACAGGTGGTCCCCTGGGGTTCACAGACGTGCCCTGGGATGTCCCACATGTGCCATGAAGGGTCCCAGGTGTGCCATGAGGGGTCTCAGGTGTGCCATGGGGTGTCCCTCAGGGGTCCCAGGTGTGCCACGAGGGTTCCCAAGTGTGCCATGGGTGGTCCCTCAGGGGTCCCAGGTGTGTCATGAGGGGTCCCAAGTGTGCCATGGGCAGTCCCTCAGGGGTCCCAGGTGTGCCATGAGGGGTCCCAAGTGTGCCATGGGTGGTCCCTCAGGGGTCCCAGGTGTGCCACAGGCTGTCCTTCAGGGGCTCTCTTTATTCATGGGCTGTCCCTTGGGAATCCCAGGTGTGGCATGAGCTGTCCCTCAGGGGTCCCAGATGTACCACAGGGTGTCCCCTCAGGGGTCCCAGGTGTGCCGTGGGCTGTCCCTCCAGAGCCCCAGGTGTGCCATGGGTGGTCCCTCAGGGGTCCCAGGTGTGCCACGAGGGTTCCCAAGTGTGCCATGGGTGGTCCCTCAGGGGTCCCAGGTGTGTCATGAGGGGTCCCAAGTGTGCCATGGGCAGTCCCTCAGGGGTCCCAGGTGTGCCATGAGGGGTCCCAAGTGTGCCATGGGTGGTCCCTCAGGGGTCCCAGGTGTGCCATGAGGGGTCCCAGGTGTGCCATGGGCAGTCGCAGGTGTGCCGTGGGCTGTCCCTCCCGAGCCCAGGTGCGCCCCGGGGTGCCCCAGGTGTGCCAGCCCCACCTGGTACTGCGTCTTGTCGATGCCCACGAGGAAGAGCAGCTCGGCGAGGAAGAGGCTGATGCAGAGGTTCTTGTGGATGGTGGTGCGCTCCGAGGGCAGCCCCCGCAGGCAGCAGAAGGCCGAGATGGACAGGCCCAGGCACAGCAGGGCCACCAGGATCCCCGCCCAGGTGATCACCGACAGCAGCACCTCGTTCAGCCGCCCCGGGAACTGCAGGAAAAGGGGGGAAAATGGGAATTACGGGGGCAATTTGGGGTTATGGGATCCACTCATGGTCATGGGCAGGGACAGTGACCACCAGGAAGGGACATAGGATGGGACAGGATCCCCGCCCAGGTGATCACTGACAGCAGCACCTCGTTCAGCCGCCCCGGGAACTGCGGGAAATGGGGGGAAAATGGGAATTCTGGGCATTTAGGCAGTGTTTGGGGCCATCTGGATCCATGGGCAGGGACAGGGGCCACCAGGATCCCTGCCCAGGTGAGCACCGACAGCAGCATCTGAATGAAGGCTCAGCTGCTCTGGGAACTGGGAAAATGGAATTTTGGGGAGGAATGAGAGATTTGGAGGGGGTTGGGACTGAGCCGAGGTCAGGGGGAGGGACAGGGGCCACCAGGAGGGGGCAGGGGCCAGCAGGACCCTCAACCAGGTGATCCCAGATGTGTCATAGCTCTCTCAGGTGTGCCCAGGTGTGTGTCCAGGTGTGCCCAGGTGTACCCAGGTGTGCCCAGGTGTGGCACTCACGCTCTGGCTGCAGCCATCAGCAGGGCGAAGTTGGTCAGGTGGCTTGTGGCCAGGTGTGTACCCAGCCATGCCCAGGTGTGGCCAGGTGTGGCACTCACGCTCTGGCTGCGGGCCATCAGCAGGACGAAGTTGGTCAGGTGGCTGCAGGTGTGTGTGTTTGTGTGCCCAGGTGTGCCCAGGTGTACCCACCCATGCCCAGGTGTACCCAGGTGTGCCCCAGGTGTGGCCAGGTGTGTACCCAGCCATGCCCAGGTGTGGCCAGGTGTGGCACTCACGCTCTGGCTGCGGGCCATCAGCAGGACGAAGTTGGTCAGGTGGCTGCAGGTGTGTGTGTTTGTGTGCCCAGGTGTGCCCAGGTGTACCCACCCATGCCCAGGTGTACCCAGGTGTGCCCCAGGTGTGGCCAGGGGGGTGTGTGTGTGTGCCCAGATGTGGCCAGGTGTGGCCAGGTGTGGCACTCACGCTCTGGCTGCGGGCCATCAGCAGGGCGAAGTTGGTCAGGTGGCTGCAGGCGCACGAGCTGTGGGTGCCGTTGGAGCGCAGCAGGCGGCAGCCCTGGCTCGACCAGTGCCCAGCCATGGAGCGCTCCGAGTAGTTCCAGAAGGAGCAGTTGGCCCCAAAGTGGTTCTTGGTCTGTGAAATCAGGGAAAATCAGAGAAAATCGGGGAAAATCGGGGAAACGGGGGTCCCAAAGAGAGGGGGGCCCCAATCTCGGTAATTCCAGAAGGAGTAGTCGGCCCCAAAGTGGTTCTTGGTCTGGGGAAATGGGGGAAAATCGGGGAAAAATCAGGGGAAAATGGGGGTCCCAGAGGGTCCCAAGGACAGGGAGCGGGACCCAATCCTGGTAATTCCAGAAGTTCATCTCACAGTGGTTCTTGGTCTGGGAAATGGGGAAAACTGGGGAAATGGGGGTCCCAAAGAGAAGGTGGGCCCCAAGCCCAGTAATTCCAGAAGGAGCAGTTGGCCCCAAAGTGGTTCTTGGTCTGGGACAGAGGAAATGGGGGGAAATGGGGAGAAAATGGGGAAATGGGGGAACATGGGGAAATGCAAAAAGAGGGAGAGGGGCCCAATCCCAGTAACTGCAGGAGAAGTTTGGCCTCAAAGTGGTTCTTGGTCTGGGGGGTCTGGGTGGGGAATGAGGGGTCCTGGGAGGTCTGGGGGCCTCTGGGTGTGGGTTTGGAGGTCTAGGTGGGATTTTGGGAGTCCTGAGTGGTTCCCAGGTGCTGGGTGGGGTTTGGGGTGTCCTGGGAAGGGTCTGGGTGGGTTTTTGGGAGTCCCACCTCGAGGTGGGGCAGGGTGAAAACCTCGACGTGGGTGCAGGTGAAGTTCTGGATGTCCCAAAACATCCAGATTTGGGGATCTGGGGTCTCTGAGTGCAGTGTTGAGGGTCCCAGGGAGCTCTGGGGTTCTGGGTGGGTTTTTGGGGGTCTCACCTCCAGGTGGGGCAGGGTGAAGACCACGGGGTCCCGCAGGAAGACCCTGCTGGACTCTTTGTTGATGGAGGCGGCGATGACCTGGGAGTTGACCACGAGCTGGGGGGCGCGGGGCCCCCCGTCCCCCCCGAGCCGCACAGTGGCGTTCTCGGTGGGCAGGAACAGCCCCAGGTTGTTGTACAGGATGAAGACAACCTTCACCACCCCTGGGGAGACAGCGGGTCAGAGACACGCAAAAAACACCCAGAAACGTGGGTTTTTGGGGGTCTCAAACACCGTTAAAACACACCCCAAAACAGACCAAAGACATCCCAAAGACACCCCAAAAACACCCCAAAAAACACCCAAAAACACCACAAAAACACCCCCAAAAACACCGTTAAAACACACCCCAAAACAGACCAAAGACATCCCAAAGACACCCCAAAAACACCCCAAAAAACACCCAAAAAACACCCAGGCCCCCCTTCACCACCCCTGGGGGAGCAGCAGGTCAGAGACACCCCCTGACGATTCCAGCTGCTCTGGGGGTGCTCCCTGTTCCCCCAGGACCCCCCAAACCACCCCCAAACCCCCCCCCAGTGTGTCCCTCCCCCATTCCTGCTGCTCTGTTTGGGGGTGCT